TGACTTTTATGTCTGTTTGACCTACTTACCCAAGAGCAAAGATGGAAAGCTGCCTGCCCCACAATGCCGAGAGCTCCCAGGGAGACAGAACACAAGCAACCGGAGCAAACGTCTTGGAGTTGACGGCAAAGGTCAGAGGAAAATGAGGATTTCCCCCAGTGAAGGTCCTTCCGTCCCTCCCTCTGTGGAAGGGTTACACCGCTGGGAAGGGGCATTCTCTTCTCACACAGAATGTCATTTCTGCTCTGGTCTCCATAGTGGATACTATGAGACAGCAAGATCTCACCCATCTCTGGCAGAGTTGGCACCCTCTTTTAGGTCACTACAACACTCCGTCAAGTCTTCATGATAGGATAGAGTGGGAGGAGGAAGAGGGAGAGAAAAAAAGGAAGGGAGATTGTTGAGAGGTAACGGGGAAAGTGGTCAATTCTCAGAACAAAAATCAAACCAGGTATTTGATTGAATTGACAACTCAATTCATTACTCACTGAGGCCCGTTTTAGAAACAGTTCTCGGGTCCCTGGGAGTCTCTGACCTTTTGAGTAGTGACTATCGATCTTTGATGCCTAGTTAAGCTACTGCCCGGAACCCCTAGCGGCAGAGGCATTGACTTGACCCAGAACTAAACTGGGGGCGGGGAAAAGGGTAGGAAGTAAGAGCACGCAAAGCGGACGCACTGCTAATCGACGCGCGGGAGTACGTGCGGACACAACAAGCATCAGCCTCGCGAGCAGTTCAGATCTGCGGGCTGTCTTCGCTGCGAGCGTCTCAGCGGCTGGTCACTCATTCTCTTCCTCTCCCATACACCCGCACGTGCGGGTGGGCCGGGGCAAGGGCTCAGTCAGGAGACCCTGTGCTCGAGAAAGTAGGAGGACCCAAGGCCTGTACTCAGAATCTACATTTAAAAGAAACGCTTCAGACGCAAGGGTGGCCACTTAGCAGGAGGGTTAGGAAAAAACAAGAGGACCTCTGGGGTTCCCTGATCAGCCAAACTAGTCTCTTTGGTGAGTTCCAAGCCAGAGAGACCTTGGGAGTGGGGGTGGGGTCGGACACAGCGCCAGTGAGACGTTTGGTCAGTGTTTGCTTGAGTTTAATCCCAGGACCCACCTGGTGGCAGAAGAGAACCGACTCCTGCACGTTGTCCCCTGACCTCAACACGTTCGCCCTAGAGCAGTGGTCCTCAGCCTTCCTGATGCTGTGACCCTTTAGTACAGTTCCTCCAACTTTAGAATTACTTTCACTGCCACTTCAGAACTGTAATTTTGCTACTGTTATAAATCGCAATGCAAATATCTGAGATGCGGGATACATAATGTGTGACCCGTGCGAATGGGTCGTTTGACCCTTCTCCCCACCCCCCCCTCCAAAGCGGTCTGGACCGATGGGTTTGGTGAAAACCATTGCCTCAGTATGCCCACCCACCCCATGGTATTTTCTAAAAATAAATAAATACATAAAGGGAAGAAAAACGTAGGCAAGATCTGAGGAACGATCCCTGAAGCTAGCACCAGTCGTGACTCCGTGGGAAGCTTGCCTGTCCAGTACCAAAGCACAGGATGGAGAGGGCGTGAGAGCACCTGTCCGCAGGACCACTATCACAGGCTCAGATGAAGAGAATAGAGAAGTCCCAACCAAACTGGGCTTGCACCCGGCCCCCTTCCACACAGGGTGGTGCATCAGTGGACCAGCTCGGAGAAAGAAGTAACTGGACCTCCCAGATCTCAACTTAATGGTGCAGATGTCTCCTGGAGAATCCACTGGACCAGCTCAGAGAAAGAGGTAACTGGACCTCCCAGATCTCAACTTAATGGTGCAGATGTCTCCTGGAGAATCCACTGGCCACTCATAGACATTTAGAAACCAGGTATGTGGGGAGATTTGTCTGGAGTAACTGTCTCCCCTAGGGGGAAAAATTCTCAACATGCAAAATTCAAGATGGATGACAAGCATGGTGGCACACGTCTGTGATCTCAGCTCTTGGGAGGCAGAGGCAGACAAATCTCTGTGAGGCTGAGGTCAGCCTGGTCTAGAGAGTGAGTTCCAGGCCAGCCAGGGCTACATAATGAAAGCTTGTCTCCAAAAACAGTGGGGCCTGATGTGGGAGCGCACCCCTTTAATTCCAGCACTCGGGGAGGCAGAGGCAGGTGGAGCTCTGTGAGGCCAGCATGGTCTACAGATAGTTCTAGAACTGCCAGGGCTGCCCAGAGAAACCCTGTCTGCAAAAATAAAAAAGAAACAGAAAGGAGTGAGGACATTTTAAAAACTATCTCAGCTTCCCCACACCCTGTTCTTTGAGATAAGGTTTTAGCCTCTTAGCCCGGGATGTCTATGAACTTACAATCTTCCCGACTCAGCTATCAGAATGCTGAGATTACAGGTGTGCCCACAATGCCTGGCTCTAAAGTCTATTTATTGATGAGCAGATAGTAATCGCTCATTACATAAGAAACCCCGTGCTTGTGCCAGGAGTCTAAGTGAGGGAAAAGGCAGGTTCCTTTTCTTTCTGCAGCCCAGAGCTAGGAGGGGCCTGTGCGCATTTTCTGCTGCTGTTGCAACAAACTACACCTGGGCGGCTGGAGGCAGCGGTACAGGAAGCCAAAGATGCTAAATGAAGGTGTTGGTGGGGTTGGTTTCTTCTGGAGCAGTGGTCCTCAACCTTCCTAACACTGTGCTCCTTCCATACAGTTCCTCAAGGTTGTAGTGACCCCCAATCCATAAAATGATCTCCTTGCTACTTCACAACTGTAATTTTGCTACTGTCAGAAATCTTCATGTAAATATCTGATATGCAGGCTATTCAGTATGTGACCCAGAGGCATCGCGACCCACAGGTTGAGAACCACTGTTTGGGAAGCTGAGAGAGACTCTACTCTGTCTCTCTCCAAACCTTCCTGTGGCTGCCAGCAGTCCTCAGCAGACACATTCCTCTGATCCTTGTCTCTCTCCTTGTATTTACCGCCTCTGAATCCTCTTTTTTTCATTGCTGAGGTTTTTTTTTTTTTTTTTTTTTTTTTTTTTTTTTTTTTCAGATAAGGGTCTATGTAGCCCAGGCTGGCCTGAAATTCATGGCCCTTGAATCACAGGCATGTGCCACTGTGCCCCTGCTCCCCAGCTCTTCTCACAAGGACACAAGGCATTAAGATTCGCTTCACTTTAAACTCATTGGCATCGAGTCACTGAGATCCTTCACGACTCGCATTTGTGAAGACTCTGAGGCTCTGGGAGACGTGAATATGGAAGGGGGTATGCTATTTAACATGTGACCAGCCATGGAAAGACTCACCATGTAAAGCTGCGAGCACAGGGTGCACCTGACCTTAAGTAAACTGAGACTTAAGTAATAAGCAATAACTCAAGAAACAGAAGGTGGACAGTGAGCACAGGAAGTGTTCACCGTACAAACTAGTAAAGCGTGACCCACCTAGGGAGGTGACAGCTGAAGTCAGCTGGAAGATGGAGAAGCCGAGGAGAAAAACACTCCACAAGATGTTATATGGAGTTTGGGTTGTAAATGCCTCCCAATGATCGGAACACATAGAATAATCCAGAAAGCTCACCTTGGCAGAGGTGAGTACGATGGTGAAGTCAGATGCAAGGGTCTTTATCTCAAGGAGAAGCTCACAAGCACCGAAGTGCATGAGGCAGAAACTCTGTGGAGACGTTCCATATGCTGTCCCTAGCAACCAGCTGAAGCCACTCCCGCAGAGCCAAATGCAGTGTTTTACAAAATACAGACAGGATCCACGCTAGCCAGCCATGCCCCTGCGTCCAGCTGAATCAACACTGACCCAAGGATGTACGGAGGACTCAAAGGAGTCCGCGAGCTCTTGCACTTGTCCGTCTAAGTAGGGAAAGGAGCTGGGATTTGAACGAGACTTTTTGATGGCTGTCCTATAAATACACACCTGTCGGTCACGTGCACACTCCCTTTTGTGGTCCATTAGGTGTAAATCCCTTAAACGCTAGTTGTGTCCGCTCACAAATAAATGTGTGTCCTCAGTAGCTCCCATTGCTCATCATAGGCCTCTACTTCCTGGAGTACCCAGGCAAGTGTTTCACATCTTCCCCTCTGGACTCCAAGAACTCCCGGTGTGAGCGTGTGTACATGCGTTAAGACTTGATTGTTTACCTTCCTCTTAACCCGTTTCCCCTTTTGGAAAGTGAGTAACTCAAGGGCAAGAAATTTTGCCTTGTCCACTTCTAAATTCTCAACTCCTGACATACATACATCTTACCAAGTGAATGGATAGATGGATATGTGGGTGAATATTTGGATTGCTGGATGGATGGAGAGATGGATGGATGGATGGATGGATGGATGGATGGATGGATGGATGGATGAGTGGGTGGGTAGATGGATGGATGAGTGGATGGATGGATGGGTGGGTGGACGGATGGATGGATGGATGAGTGGATGGATGGATGGGTGGGTGGATGGATGGATGGATGGATGGATGATGGATGGATGGATGGATGGGTGGGTGGGTGGATGGATGGATGGATGGATGATGGATGGATGGATGGGTAGATGGATGGAAGGATGGATGGATGGAAAGATGCACAGATGGATGGATGAACAGATGACATACGGATGCATGATAGGCAATTAAGTGTATAGATTGACATATGGATAAATTGTCATGATACTATACTGACTTCAAATCTAATAAATCAATAAAGTAATGAAAGCAAACCAATTAATCAATTGATTATTATTAAAGTGCTTTGTGGGACCTGGAGAGATGGCTCAGCAGCTAAGAAAATCTGCTGCCCTTAAAGAGGACCTGGGTTCAATTCCCAGTACTCACATAGTGGTTTTATACCCATCTATGATCCTAGTTCCTGAGGGTTCAACAGGCATGTGTGCACATGTGTGCATATACATGCACACAGGGAAAACACACACATAAAGCAAATCAATCTAAATAAATAATTATGTTCTTTACACTGTCTACTCCTCCAACAAAAACTGGAATGGCACAAAACACTGCTTGACTCACCTCATTCCTTCAGAAGCCATCTTGTCAAGATTAGTAGTGCCCTTTGCTTCTGCCCAGTTCGCCCCCAGGTCACCCCATCCCATATCGTCAGCCAAAATGATCACAATGTTTGGTTTGGGGGCTCTTGTTTTCCCACTGATAGAGAAATCCACAAGAGGGTAGAGCAATCCAGAGAAAGTCATGCCAGCCAACAAAACCTTTAGAAAAAGCCAGCCCATGGTGGCATGCACAGACTCCTGTCGTCTCGATCGAGTGACAAAGGGCCCCCACCACAGATATCTCGAAGAGTTTTCTCTTTGTTCACCTTGAGTGCAGGAAGCCACCAAGGAACATGGGTCCAGTTGGCAAAAAACACACTGGAGTTAGTAATGGCTACAGGAACAGTACGAGCTACAGAAAGAAAGGCCCCATCTGGAATCCTAATCCAAGAGTCAGGAAATGTGTCACCCTAAATCGGATTGGCCCCCTGGAGATGTCTTCTCATCACAGGTCAATAAGATGACTGGTTAGGAGAAGCATTCACACAAGGTTGTCAATAACCATTCTTTGGCCAGTTAGCAAGTAAGTGACCCTCTGCACTCAGGGAGGCTACGGCCACAGCCCAAGTCTTGCATCTGCTCTGGACTCCATCTGGTGATTGCAGGGTAAAGCTCACATCTGCAGAACACCTGGATGTTCTCGAAGCCACAGTCAGCCCCACATGAGTTTCTGAGTTCCAGATGGTTGAGGTTTGTTTCTGTAAGGTTTCCTGAAAGAACAAAATTTGACAAGCAGACAGAGTCGAAAGAGCCAGGCCAGATGTGCCGTACTCGGTAGCTTGGGAAATAATCACTTTTCCATGCCAACAGATGTTTTCCTTCTTATTTGAATGCTCAACTGGCTCCTCGGTGTCTTCCACCTGAAAAACAGGGATGACAAGAATATTTGCAACGAACCTATAGTAACAGGGTTGGCGGTAACATTACAGACGACTTCTTACGCCTCACGCATGCTCTAGGATGTTGAAGCTCAGTGTCCTGGGTGGGCTGAATACAAGCAGATCCCAGTCTGCTGATACCCTCCCCCCCCCCCGAGTGCTTCCCCACGCCTACCACCACAAGTGGTCACACCTACGGAGCATTTTAGAAGAAAAGGTAAAGTCTCATTATCAAGACATAATTGTTTATAACGGTCTCGTTATGAGCTAATGTTTCCATAAAAAAACTCTTCGCAGCCAGGCAGTGGTGGTGCATGCCTTTAATCCCAGCACTTGGGAGGCAGAGGCATGCAGACCTCTGTGAGTTCGAGGCCAGCCTGGTTTACAGACTGAGATCTAGAACAGCCAGAGCTGTTCAAGACAGAAACCCTGTCTCAGAAAGAGAGAGAAAGAGAGAGAGAGAAGAAAAGGAAACTCTTCACAGAAGGAGTTCAGGATATAGCTCTGTTGGTAGAATGCTTGCCTTGCATACACAGAGTCCTAGGTTTGATCCCCCATCACCTCCTAAACCAGGTGTGGTTAGTGTTTGACTATGACACCAGCATGTATGAGGTAGAGACAAGAGGACCGGGTGCTTAAGGTAATCCTCAGCTAGTTAGAGACCAGCCTGAGATAACTAAGACACACTCTCAAAGCAAACAAACAGCCTCCCCCAGAGAAATTAATTTAGGGGGAAAAAAAGAGAATTATGAAAAACAAGTTTATAACAGGCTCTAGGTGAACATATGCCGGTTCTACAGCATGCTTTCCACTTTTCTGTATATTTGTAATTTTCATAATTAAACGCTGCCAAAAAAGTTCCAAAGAATTAATAGAAACACGTCGCTGTACATTCTAGTCATAATGGTTTTGGTAAGAAAATCTAGGGCTGGGAGGTGCAGTTCATTGGCAGAGTGCCGATTTAGTGTGTACAAGGCCGTAATTTCATCCCTACCCATCTCACAAAAAAGAAAAAAAAATCAAGCAAACAAAAAAACCACATCTAACCGACGATTTTCACACTTGGAAGTACATATGAATTAGGAAACTCAGAGCCGAGGCTATAACTCAGTTCATAGAGCGCTTGCCTAGCAGGCCTGTGCACAAAGCCCTGGTTTCGCCCCCAGAATTCCATAAACTGTGTGTGGTGAAATATATCCATGATCCCAGAATTCTGGAAGCAGGGACAGAAAAAAAATCTAAAATTCAAGGTCATCCTCTAACATAAAGCCAGTAAAAAAGCCAGCCTGGGCTCCAAGAGATACACTCAAAAAAGTAAATAAGATAAAAATAAAAGAGAAAGTGAGAGAGAGGAAGAGAGAGAGAGAGAGAGAGAGAGAGAGAGAGAGAGAGAGGAGAGACGAAAGAAAGAAAGAAAGGAAGGAAGGAAGGAAGGAAGGAAGGAAGGAAGGAAGGAAGGAAGAAAGAAAGAAAGAAAGAAAGAAAGAAAGAAAGAAAGAAAGAAAGAAAGAAAGAAAGATTGATTCAATGGGAAGAAGTCTGGGACCATTTTCTGTTTGTTGATTTTTCAAGACAGGCCCTCAAACAGCTCAAACTCGGTAGGCAAGCACAGGATGACCTTAACTCCCTGACTCTCCTGCTGCTGCCTTCCGCAAACTGGGATTACAGGTGTGAGCCAACATGTCTGGCTCTGAGATCTGAATCTGAGCAAGCTCCCAGGTGAGAGCTACACCATTTGTCCTTGGCTCACTCTTGGAATAGTAAGAGGTTGGAGAATAAAAACATCATGACTCAAGGCCTCAAAGAAAAAAGGAAACAGCACGGCCGAACTGAGATGACTCAGCTCCAGTGGACAAAGCCGATATATCAGACAAAGTTCCGAAACACAGGGCTCGACTTTCAGTTGGAGGCAGCAAACAGCTGAGAATAAAGTCCAGTCACTCACTCTTTCTTTACTTAAAGGCTCTAAACCTGCAAGGTGCCACAGTGTTGAAATTCTAGAGCAAATTTCAGCCGTGGAAGTCAACGAACCAAGAAGGAAAATGTAAAAATGCTATAGGCTAAGGCTATTTCTGCATGCTGTTTACAAATAAACAAACAAACAAAGAAAGAAATAAGTAGCATGTTGGGGGAGTCTCAAGACAGTGTTTCTCTGTGTAGCCCTGGCTGTCCTGAACTCCCTCTGTAGACCAGGCTGGCCTCAAGCTCACAGAGATCTGCCTGTCTCTGCCTCTGCCTCCGGAGTCCTGGGATTAAGGTCATGAGCCACCATCCCCCAAGGGGAACAAAATAGATTATGTTTCTTTGTAAACCAGACATCATGGTGGTCTCTTCAATCCCAGAACTTGGGAGGCAGAAGCAAGTGAATCTCGATGAGTTGAGGTCATTCTGTAGCAAATTCTAGGCCAGCCAGGGCTGCATAGTGAGACCCCATCTCAAAAAAAAAAAAAAAAAAAGAAAGAAAGAAAGAAAGAAAGAAAGAAAAGAAAAGAAAACAAAAACCCTAGTTACATATTTTTGTGCATATGTGTGCTCGCCCAAGCCGTGGCACTCATAAGTGGAGGTCAGAAGACATTTTACAGGATTCAATTGTCTCCTTCCATCAGGTGGGTCCCAGGGACCAAACTCAGGCTCCATGGCTTGGTGCTAAGGGCCTTTACCCACTGAGCCAACTCCATAGCTAGGCATTCCTACCAGCTAATTGCCTGGTTAGCTTCAGGGGATGGGGTGACTGGAACAATAAATTCTAGAGGATCTTGATAAAAGCCAAGAAATGGTTCAAAACAAACGGAAGTCTGAGTAACCGGGGATGGTTCATCTGGAGACTCCTGAGCCAACTGCTTGGAAACTCAAGCCCTGCCACTTCCCAAAAGGGGTTCTTTTCGCATTTGATTAGATTCAAGTGGTATTCGCTGATCTTGAGGTCCCAAAGACTTCTCCCTTTCTGGAAGACTCTTGCATAAGGAGGGTGCTTAACAAACACTTGCTCACCTGCTGGTTAATTCCCAGCCGCCTTCTCCTCCTCCTCCTCCTGGCATCTAACCACGGGCAACAGCCACAGGAAGCTTTTCTTCTTAAAGCTGCTTAGCTTAGGGCACTAGTGTGGCCTCATTTCTGGTCACTAATCCAACTCAGGATGACCTGGCCGTGCAAGAATTCCAGGGGGAGAAATTCATTTAAGAAGGAAGCTAAAAATTAAAATGGAAATCTAACTAGATCGGTTTCCTCTGGAGTTCCAGGACAAGACATTCTTTTGAGGATTTGCAAAAGGAAGTATGAACGCCACACTCTGAATGTTCATAGAATGGAAATGAACTCCTCCAGCCAGCAGACCACTGCAGATTTCTTCACATCCATATCGCCAAGGGGACATTTAAGCCCTGTCTGAGAATGTATTTAGTTTCTTAAACTGATGGGAAAGAGGCAAACTAGGCAGTCGAAGGTTGGACTTGAACCACAGGCTTCAGTAGAGTCACGTGCGAGCCTCTCTGTCCTAAAGAAATGGCCCCACGCGCTGCCTGGGGACTGGAGACTTCATCGGCCATCACGTGCCCAAAACTGAGTCTTTATGACTCTCTCTCAGGAAGGAGGACTAAGGATACAGCCAAAGTGCTTGAGATTGCTTAGTTTGTAAAGTACTTGAATTTTATATGGGTTCTGGGAATATCAAACTCACGAGGACGTGAGTTCAATTCCCCAGAGCCCACATAAAGACTAGTGTGGTGGTCCAGGCTTCTCCTCCCAGCATACAGATCCTTGAGGTTTTCCGGCCAGCCAACCTAACCAAATTAGCAAGCACCAGACCAGTGGAAGACCCTGCTACATAAAACAAGGTGGGAAGTGTTTTCAGGAAAGACGTCTGAGGTTGACTTCTGGTCTTGAAGCACGTGTGTACCCACGGACAGACACACATGTCACAGGAAAGGAGATGGGCGCCAACACAGGCCAGGAGCTCTCCTCTCAGAAGTGGGCACATTCACTCTTCTCTTCACTTCAGTGAAAGGTACTGGGCCAACTATGTCAACACGCCGCAAAAGAAAGTCCGTCTGCTCCATCATGGCATGGCTGACTATGACAGGTGTCCCCTACGCAGGTATTGTCCCCAGACCTCCACTTTCCCAAGGCAGCAGAACAAACCTTACCTGCCAATCAACCCCACCAATTCCTGTCCTCTCCAACCCACACTTTGTAGGTTTTGATTCTAGGGATTGAACCCAGGCCCTTCCTGCATGCTAAGCAGCTGCTAAGCACCCATACCCCCAGCCCAAGCTCAACTACAAAGCAAGGCTGGGTTCCCTTTAGTTTCCAGGCTTGCCTACGGGTGAAGGTAGAGAAAAGACCCCCGAGCGGGCTCTAAGCTGAGAGGCATGGACCAAGGCAACCTGCAGATCTGCTGAGCAGGGTCTGAGCAACCCCGTGCTGGAAGTCTACTCCATCACCTGACCCTGGCTTCCCACAGACCTCCTCGTGGCCAAGCATCCTCCTAGAGAACCTTGAAAACAGCTGAAATAACAAGGAGGTTGGACAGACCTTTCTGGCATGTGGCTCTGTTGGTTTTCCAGAAACGAAGCGTCTGAGGAACGAAGGCCAACAAAGACAAAGGAGGAAGGAGAAGTGCCCGATTGCAGAGTCCCGCTGCTTCTCCAGCCAGTTCAGAGCACGGTCTACGCATTGGCCAGGGGTCAGGAGTCACATGGGGACTTACCAGGAGGGGCCTTGGGAAGCAGCTGTCCACATGTGGTCTAGGGTGGTTCTCCCAGGCGCTCAATCATTGGCCTACCGCACGGGCACTGGCGCTTTAATCTGGGTTCTGTGCACACAGCCACAAGTGAAACAAGATAAAAACCCCCACCCTCGCACCACTTAGGTTTTCTTAAGGAAAATGTGAATGTCCTGGAGCAAACCAAGGCAGAAAAGTGTCAGATGTGTGGGGCGGCCGGGACACAGTCAAAAGGGAGCTCGGGGTACTCCCACCCAAAAGGTGGTCTAAGAAGTCACCTGGAGAGGGTCCCACAGGTAGAGAAGTCAAGGAAGGCCAAGATCTAGTGCGGCAGACAAGCCACAGAGAAGCAAGCACCAAGACAAGTGTCCTAATTTGCCTCCTATTGCTCTGATAAATACCCATGGCCAAAAACAACTTGGGGGAAGAAAGGGTTTATTTCACCTTATAGCTTAGACCAAGGGTACCTGGTGCTTGCTATCTATCCTATCTTATCTATCTATCTATCTATCTATCTATCTATCTATCTATCTAACTGTTTTCTTGAGATAAGGTTTCTCTTTGTAGCCCTGGCTGTCCTGGACTTTGCTCTGTAGACCAGGTTAACCTTGAACTCAAAGATCCACCTGCCTCTGCTGGAACTAAAGGTGTGTGTCACCACTGCCCTGCTCAGCTTGCTTTCTTATACCAACCAGGATCTCCCGCCTAAGGATGTTGCCCTCCTGACTCACCCACAGGCCAATCTGAAGAAGGCATTTTTCTCAGCCAAGGTTCCTTCTTCCCAGAAGTTCCTGTCAAATTGACAAAAACTAGTGTAACCAGCCTGGCCGAGGAGCGTGAACAAGGGACCGGTGGAATCAGAGAGCAACCCAGATGGGAAGCCACAAGAAGGCAGGCAAGAGGGCAAGATCTGACAGTAACAGAATCCGTGGGCTGCTGTGTTGAAAATACAAAAATGTATCTGCAAGCTGTCAGGTCAGTGAAGAAGCCGAGTTTCAGAATCTCTGGGTGAGGTCAGAGGGCTGTGCTGGGCCGGAGTGGGCAGAAGCACCTAAAGTGTAGGATGCAGAGGACGCACTCTATCGGGGGACACTCTGAAGTGCCTAAGTAGCTGGTGACTTTCTTAAATTTTACTTTATGGCAGAAAAGCAGTTACCAGCAGAGCCAGACAAAATGTTATTTAAGAGATATCTTGGTAGACTTTTTCTTTGCCCCTAGACCCCATGTCAGTATGGTGCTGTGGAACAACCCTTTTGTACACTATGAATATGTATTACTCTCATTGGCTAATAAATAATTGGCCTATAGCTGGGCAGGAGGAGGTTAGGTAGGAAAACCAGACTTAAAGGATGATGGGAAGAAGGAAGGAAGAGTCAGAGGAGTTACCAGCCAGTCGCAGAACAAGTCAGATACACAAAATAGGATGAGGTAAAAGCCACGAGCCTCAGGGCAGCACATAGATTAATAGAAGTGGGTTACGTTGTAAGAGCTAGTTAGTAATAAGCCTGAGCTATTGGTTGAGCATTTATAAGTACTCTTAAGTCTCTGCATTGGTTATCTGAGAGCAGGTGGTTGGGACAGGGAAACTCTGCCTACAGTATATACTTGGCTCAACTTAGATTACTTTCTGAGAGAATGTGTGTGTGATGGCAAGAGCAACAATATCTCAAACAAGGTCTCAAAGAACATTCTCTAATTAATTTCTCTTTCTTTTTTTTAAGACAGGATACCATTAGGTAGCCCAGCCTGGTCTTAAATTTCTGGTCCTCTCACCTTAGCCTCCAGAGTCTAGGAATTCAGGCCTCAGTCTCTATGTGCAGTTCAAAAAATATTTGTAGGGAACTGAACTGTCAATTTGACTATATTTATGACCATCATGGCAACACACTTCTGAGTATGTCTACAAACATGCTCCAGAAAGGTCTAACTGAAGGTTGAGGAATATTCCTTTATACTGTGTGAAGATATGTCACTGTGATTCGTTTAATAAAAAGCTAAATGGCCAATACTAGGCAGGATTTTCAGAGCAGAGAGAAAACTGGGAAGGAGGAGGAGTTGTCAAATGGACAGAGAGTAAGAAAGACATGCAGGAGGAGAGCTAACAGTCATGAACCACACAGCAGCACATAAATTAACAGAAATGAGCTCATTTAAGTTATAGGAACTATACAAGCCTAAGCTATCCGCCAGGCTTTCATAATTAATAATGAGTCTCCGTGTGGTTATTTGGGAACTGGCTGGCAGGACAGAGAAACACTCACTACAACTGAATGGCAAGTGCCACCGTGCATGTGAGCAGAAGCATCCTACTGGGGATGGAATCATGGACTAAACACAAGGAGAAAGTGAGCAGAGCATGAGTATCTTTCTCTCCCTGTTTCCTGACTGCAGACACAAAGGGACCGGCCACCTCCCATTCCTGTCATCATGCTTCCCCCCACTGCCTTGATGGAGTTCTACATCCCCTCCCAGGTGTATCTAATCAGTGCCCTGAGATCGCTATACATGTGGCCCAACACAAAAATCATAAACTTCCTTAAAATATTAAGAGATTTATTTCAACTAAGTTTTGGTTTTGTTTGGTTTTTAGCGGGAGTGTTGGGTTTGCAACTCAATTTTGTGATTCTCCAGCCCAAACTTCACAGATGACAATGTCCCGTCTCGCTCGCAAAAGACTGACTATGCCTTTGGGTAAGTTCAACAAACCCTCCCTTCTCTCCTTAAGTTCCTTTCATGAGGTACTACTTCCTTACAGCAAGGAGAAAAGTAACCGATACATCTTTGATAGAATGTCTTTACTGAAGCCAGACAGTGATGGTGCATGCCTTTAATGCCAGCACTCAGGAGGCAGAAGCAGGTGGATCTCTAAGTTTGAGGCCAGCCTGGTCTACAGAGAGAGTTCCAGGACAGCCAGGGCTACACAGAGAAACCCTGTCTCCAAAAACAAAACAAAAGAATGCCTTCTCTGAGGTTGGGAAAATAATCTCACTAAATTTGCTGACCTTTATTTACATGTTTACTTATGTATTAGGCAGCTCAAGCCAGATCCTGTTTTTCCCTTCTGGGAGTCAGGGATGCCAGGAAAGCCAACACCAGGAGGGAAAGGACATCCTGCCCAGGTCTAAGCCAAGACCACCTGTGGTGATTGTCGCAGAAGGAAACCACGTGGCAGAAGCCAATCTGGGAGAGCCAAAGTGGCTTCATGCCATGCATCTAAAAACCCAGTAGCCCTTCGGAAATTATACCCTGATCTTGACGCACAGAGCAGAAGACCAGAGGGAGCAGCTGTCCTTCTGAATCCCACCTTCTCTTAAAACCTCTCTCCTCCGTCTGAGAAGACAAATCAAAAGGGCTCAAGGTCACAAAACTGAACCTCACCCCCAGAACAGAGTTAATTTTAAAGATGTCTTTAAGAGCCATATTACTTATTATTTGCTAAATATTTTATTACGGGTGTGGCACAGCATACCACACTTGAGAAATTCATGCATATTTATCCAGCTTGTAGACCCAACAATCAACACATAGCCAGTCTGGTTGCGATGACACCCTGTCCCTGTCCCTCGGCCCCCAATAGGTACAGGATCACTTCTCTTTGTTTTAATCGTGTGTGTATTTATTTCTGTATGTGTACATGGCCTGTGGATGCAAGTGTTCTCAGACACCAGAGGAGGGCATTAAGTCCTCTAGAGTTGAGTAAGAGGAAGCTGTGAGCCTCTTGACTTGGGTGTTAGGAACTAAACTCAGGTCCTCTGGAAGAGCAAGAAGCACTTCTAACCACAGAGTCATCTCTCCAGACCCATGCTAGATTATTTTGAAGTAAATCCCGGACACCATGTGCTATGTTTTAGATATGAACTATCCTCCCTCAAAGGTTCCTGTGGTAAAGGCTTCATTGCAACTTACGTACTTTTATATACTTTTATTTTTATTCTATGAATGTTATGCCTGCAAGTATGCCTGTTCACCACATGTGTACCCGGGTCCTGTGGAGATCAGAAGGCATCAGATCCCCTGGAACAGGAGTTACAGGCAGCTGTGAGTCACTGGGAACCGGGAAGGGAACCCGGGTCCTCTGCAAGAGCAGGGTGCTCTTAACCACTGAGCCATCTCTCTAGCACCTGCTGATGTGGTTTCAAGTCTATTGACTTATTTTATGGATATGTGGGCATGGCTGGCTGTATGTACGTGCAACAAGTGAGTACAGGAGCCTGCAGAGGTCAGAAGAGGGCATCAGGGGTCTCAGGCCCCAGGAATGGCTTCATGGTGCTATGGGACAATGGTCTGTACCCTGTCACTTGTATTATTTTTAGTAAAATATTGATTGGCCAGTAGCCAGGCAGGAAGTAGAGGCAGGGCAATGAGAATTCTGGGAAGAGGGAAGTTTCAGTCTGTAGTCTTGACCCAGCCTCAGAAGAAGCAAGATGTGACTGCCTTGCCGAAAATACCAAGCCACGTGGCTAACATAGATGAGACTTACGGGCTAATATAAGTTATAAGAAGTAATAAAAAGAGCTAGGGCTGGAGAGATGGCCCAGTGGTTGAGAGCATTGGCTGCTCTTCCAGGGGACCGGGGTTCAGTTCCCAGCACTCCACTCTAGTTCCAGGAGATCTGATGCCAATGCACATAAAATAAAGCTAAATAAATGTTTTGTTTTGTTTTTTTTTTTTTTAAAAAAAAAAAAGCCTGAGCTACTAGGTCAATCAGATTATAGTTAATGTAGACCTCTGTGTGATTTCTTTGGGATTTAACGACTGCGGGAACCGGGCAGGACAGAAACCTGTCACCCACTGAGCCACCTCCCCCACCTCTTTTTGCCCGTCTAGAGAGCTGGAGATCAAACCCTGGGCCTTCTGAACGCTAGATAAGCATTCTACCATTAATGCTATGTCCCACACCCCACGAGTCCAGCGTAGTCACCTGCTAGCGGGGCGACATGGAATACGCGTCTCCTGTTTCTTATTTAACCTGGAAACAGAGCCATAGTTAACTTCCTTCACCTCCTACAATACAGGAGGGTAAGACAAGAGAAGCTGTGCTCAGGAAGGCTGACCTCACTCCGGATTCGACCTCTCCATTGCTTTGAGGACTAAAAAAGATGCCGGAATTGAGAAAGCTGTGCAAAAGGAAGGCGATGCAAGCCCAAAGCCTCACTGAAATCACCACTGAGCAAAGGCAACCCCAGCGCGGGGGCGGTGAAATTCAGACTTCCTGCGGTCATTTGCTATGGCTCCTTGTCACACAATCCGTCACTGTCGGTGTTATCTCTGGTAAACGTGAGCTAGGTCCCTTTGCTGGGCAGGGTTTGCTGACAGCTGACCCTGTGGTTGGGAGAAGCTCCCGTCCAGCAAATCTGGTTTGGGGCAGCCCAGCTATGAAGTCTAAATGACCTGGTGGGTGGGAGGCGGAAGGGGAATTTCCCTTTCGCGCTCTTCCTATTGAACATACGAGCTAGACAATTCATCCGCTTGTCTGAGCATGCCAGCAACTCAGCAATGACCGGAACTCACTCCAGTATGTTTTATGGCACGACCTAATCCCAGTACCTTGCCCAGAGAGTGTTCAATCAATATTTGCAGAATGAGGGCATTTCACACTAAACAATGAAGTCCCAGCCCGACGGGCCCTGCCCTGAAAACACAGCTTCATCTCTTCGCTTTCCCTAACCTCGGGTGACCTTTCTTACTTCTCCTTCCAGATACTCACTTGTAAAACTTTACTTGTTGAAAGGCTGTCTTAGGGGTTGGAGGTGTGGTTCAGTGGCCGAGTGCTTGCCTAACACATGTCAGG